GTCCGGGAGGAGTCGACAAGTCGTGTGTTTTTTTTCCCTCTCTCTCTCTCTTTGTGTGCTTGTGTACAGAATGCAATCGCTGCTTCTGATTGGCTTACGCTGATACTATAAGCAGAGCAGACTCCACGAAGAATGTCCGCAGTCATTCGGGCTTTCATAGTCGAGCGCACTTCCGCGTTGTAGTTTCCTGTAAAAATCCCCGTGAAAAATCCCCGCGATGTGAAAAATACATGCTGAGCAGTCACTGGTACGCAGAGCGGAGTCCGCACGGTCGTAAAATCTGAGCTTTGCGCGCACAGGGCTTGCGGACGTCCGCTTTGAGTCCGTGCGGACCTCCGCAGAGTCCGTTCCGCGTATATTCCGCCCAAGTATGTTCGGGCCTTGACAGACACACATCACATGTGTGGAGATACTTCACTTTCCTCCTCCGTCTCAATGTGATGACGTCATCAAATGACTTGTCGACTCTAATTCGACTTTATTGACAGATAAGTCGACCTGAAAAAAATCATCAAAGTCGTTAATGCCCTAGTAGGTAGGTACAACGTCAATTCGATGCAGAAGTATAAATTCTGCCTAAGGGGCGAGAGAGGCCTCAGAGGCCTTTTTTTTCATACAAAGTTCAGAATTTCAACTGATTTATTTGGCCAATTTTGAAAAAATAAATAAATAAATAAATAATAAAAAAAAAAATTGCAAACAAAACCAAACTTTCTATTACCCCCCCCCCCATTGAGGCCGTGGGTAATCAGCCCCACTTGTCCCCCCACTAAAACGCCCCTGGTGTGAGATAACCTGAGAAATATAATTTTCATCTACTTGTGACAAGTGAAATGTCAATTCCACCACTGCACCCAGATGCACTTCAGTCTATCGTGATTAATTCAGTAAAATCCCAAAACAAGACAAATAGTTTGTGTGAGAATATTCGACGTGACACTTTATGTTGCTGAGTGAGGAGGCAGGGCATTTTTTACCGCTCAACTGGGAGAGCCTCTGAACTTTTAAAGTGCTCAGCTGTCCCAAACAGTCACATGGACGCTTACACACACACACGCACACACACCCACACATGCACATACAGACTCAGGGCTGGGCCGGGTTGGGCCTATTGGCATTACTCATCCAAAATCTCCCACCTGTTGAAGCCTCATTTGGAAAGTTCAGCATGTAAAGCACTGAACAACAGAGCTGGCAGAAAAAGACAGAAAGTGTCCCAACAAGTTTGGAGCTGCGGAGACGCCGCCTGATGGCACTGAGGACGTGAGACCACCTCACTCTGAGAAGAAGTGGACTCAAGTTTCACGGTAGGTTGCGTGAGTGATCTTCTCTCCTTTAACATTTTTAACTCCTCACTAATACTTGCTCGGCACTTGTTAGATCTCTACATGTTTTTTCGTTCATATATTCTGACATGTAGAGCAGTTTGAGAAGGTGAAACTCTCTTAACTTGTAGATGTGTTTGTGATATATATCATGTACCCGGTCACAAGTGCGTCCTGTTTTAACTTTGCAAAGATCAAGTTGCCTCTCGAGGACAGACCTCAGCGTTCACTGCATCTTGAGAACAGCTGCACTTTGTTCACTGATAATTAAAGTAATGCCAACCGTGGTGAGAAGACCTGTGAATTAATATTAATAACGCATGAGAAATGTTATCTTTTAATCTATTGTTTCTGGTTGATCATTAGCTGTAAGTGAAGCAGAGAGGAGCTGCTTCATTATGAGACACCTACAGGGATTTTCAGAGGGCACTTTTGGTGATTCCCTTCACAGCAACAGAAGTGATGCTGAAGTGTTTTCTGTCCACAGAGCCATCTGCTGGATCACACTCTGAATATCTGGAGGAACTGGACCTCGACTGACCGAGCGACACCATGGCTCATTATGACCTGTAAGTTCAGTCTGCAGACGGGACCAGGGAAGGACCAAGCTGCCTGATGTGGGTCACTGAAGCATGAATTACAAATAATCATATCCATTGCTGCATATAAGCAATCTCGTCCTTTAATGTCACATACCAGAGAGTTACTCATTTAATACTTAAAAACCTGGAATGTGACGTTCCAGTTCGACCACCATGAGAAATCTTAGTCACATATTTGTGTTTTGCATTTCAACATTTGCTTCTCTGTGTGACATTTGCTACCCGACGATGACAGGATGGATGACAAGGACTCTGTGGATATTCATGACCACCCGCCGCTCCCTGATAATGTGGTGAAAGAGGAGGACAACACGGTGAGACGTCCAACATACACAACACGCCATGTGGCACATACGTATATTATTTATCAATGCCAACAAAGTCTAACAAAATGTGTTACATTAGGAATAATTCATGTGTGAGTGTGATCAACGTTGGAGCTTATGTTTTATAGGATTTGCTGTTCAAATACAATAAAAACTCCCGTACTTTTAGTGGCATTTAGTCTACATAAAGTTTGGGATTTATTTGCTCAGGTTTTGAGATTTCTGTCCCTTAAATTTGTGGCCAATCAGACATATAGCAATTATTTAATGCCCCAGTGTTTATTCTTTATTTATTTGTTTTAAATCGTCAAAAATTAAGTGAAGTAATTAATTTTTAAAATTTATTTTGTTTGTGTGAAATCGTTAACAACCAGTAGCAAAAAAAAGGGAAATGTTTTAAAATAGGAAAGTGGCTGAAATAAATTCTGCTGCTTGCAGACAAACACATCAGAAAACTCATATAATAAATGGACTTTAACACATTAACAAGAGCAGGTTGAGATGCATACACGGAAATTGCAGACATAACCAGTGCCATCTTTTTTTTTTTTATTGTTTTCACCCCTGATTAAGAAAAGATTATGTGACATCCGGATAAATGTTAAAATCAAAATCGGGCAGCAGCCTAAAAACTATCCTCTCCTGAACTATATATATGGCCTCAAGGTTCATTTACTGTCACTGTACAACACAGGGTTGCACAATAGCAGTCGTAGAGCCTTAATGCGCAAGAAAGACAAAACAAAACTTCAGTTTACATCATTAGAGATGTAAACAGCACAAAGAAAAATAAAAAACTCAGTTAACATATTGTCAGTCATAACACTTAAAATACCTGTGGAGCCATACTTACAGGGACAGTTCACCCCAAAATCAGATATACATATTTCTCTTACCTGTAGTGCTATTTATCAGTCTAGATTGTTTTTGTGTGAGTTGCTGAGTGTTGGAGATATCAGCTGTAGAGATGTCTGCCTTCTCTCCAGTATAATGGAACTAGATGGCACTCAGCTTGTGGTGCTCAAAGTGGGAAAAAAAAAAATACTCGAAAATAAAATACTTAAAAAATCAACAGCAGTGTCTCTTCCCAGAAATCATGACCTTTTTATTCAAGATAATCCACAGACCTTGTTGTGAGCAGTTTCATGTCGGAACTATTTTCTTTCTACCGAAGTAGAAATATAACTGTGAAATATGAACATTAATGGCGTCCTCCTCAGTTGAGCTGTGTTGTAGATAGCTCAGTGGTGCTAGGTGAGCTGACAGTAGACGCACGCTTTCTTATGCAAAGTGGTACAGTTGGTGGGTGTAGTTTGGTAGAAAGAAAATAGTTCCTATGAAGCTGTTCACAACAAGGTCTGTGGATTATCTTGAGTAACTGGGTCATGATTTCTGGAAAGAGACGTTGCTGTTGAGTTTTTCAAATGAAGGCGGACATCTCTACGGCCAATATCTGTGACACTCTAACAATCTAGACTGATAAACAGCTCTACAGGTTATAGGAAAAAATATCTGTTTTGTCATTTTGGGGTGAACTTTTCCTTTAAATTTTATATTTGTTAAGCATTTTTACGTCAAAAGCGGCACAGTGGTGCAGTGGTTAGCATTGTTGCTTCACAGCAAGAGGGTTCCTGGTTCGAATTCAGGGGAGGGGGTTTGAACCTTGGGGCAGGGGAGCTCCTCTGTGTGGAGTTTGCGTGTTATTCCCGTGTCAGCGTGGGTTTTCTCCAGGTACTCCAGCTTCCTCCCACAGTCCAAAGACATGCAGGTTAACTGGTGACTCTAAATTGGCTATAGGTGT